AGTTGCCGAGGTTGGAGAGCTCTGGCTTACCGGGGATCGGAAGGGGGCCGACGGCTCCCCCCTCCGCCTGCCTCCACTCCGGTCCAGCAAGGGCGGGGCGGACTGACTGGAGCACCGCCTCCGGGGCTTGTTAGTAGGGCTTCCAGCCGAGTCGAGAAGCGACTCATCAGAACTGATCAGGAAAAACCAAGCCTGAAAAAGCAGCGCTTGTGACATCCGCGGGGGAGAAGAGAAGAGAAGGAAGAAAAGAAAAGAAAAGAAAAGAAAAGAGAAGAAAAGAAAAGGAAAGGTAAAGGAAAGGAAAGGAAAGGAAAGACTCCCACTCCGGGAGCCGCTTTACAGGCGGAGGCAGTCTTCTTCTTCCACGGATGAATTCACTTTTCCACCCACGCGTAATCTTGGAATGGACCCATGCCCGTCTTTGAAAGGGCTGCAACCTCGGGGCGCGCGTTTTCTTTGGACCCCCCCCGACGCTCTTTGGATGCTTCCCCCCACAACAGAGGATGCTGACCCCCGACGCCCATTAGCCTCCAGATCCCGGGATCTAGTCCACTCGATCTAGTCCGCTCGATCGAGCGAACGCCCTTGGAAGGGAACCCCGTCGCTCTTCTGGATCTCGGACCGCTGATTAGGGATACCCCTCCCCATTCACCTCTGGGACATTCCCCCTCCCCATCGTTTTCTGGAACTGAAACGCGCGCCCCTTCCTCCAAAACAAAACAAAACAAAACAAAACAAAAAAGACTAGCTGGGACCTTAGCCTCTCGGCCCTGCGGCTGCCTTTCCTCGAAGTTCCTGCTGGGGCAAAAGGGGAGCCCCCTGACCAAAAGGCTGAGCTGCAGCGGCGAGGGGCTGGAGGCTCGGAGCTCTGTCAGTCAAGCGTCGGGAGCGCCTGCGCCCGGGTGAGTTTGAGGGCTGGGGGGGGGGGGGGGGGGGGGGGGGGGGGGGCGCGAGGGGCAGTGGTGTATTCACCATTAAGCACAGGGGTCTCCGACCTTGGCAACCTTAAGCCTGGAGGACTTCAACTCCCAGAATTCCCCAGCCAGCTTTGCTTAAGGTTGCCAAGGTTGAAGACCCCCTGATTAAGCAGACTTAAGCACGTGCTTAAGGCCCAAAGGGGGGGGGGCACCACAAAATTGAGAAAAGGAAAGGAAAAAAAACCCCAATTAAGATTTGTAAAAATAAATAAATATTGTATGTACAAAGGCACCAAGATTTGTCAGTGCGTAGGTGAGAATTGCTTTTTACACCACAGAGTTGGACACTAAGATAGTAACCTCCCCTCTGAAAAGTATGATAATAAAGTGTTGGGTTGTGCAGAGATGGTTCAACTCACATTTGGAACGGCGAGGTAGAGAAGATATGGAATATTATACGGTCTGGGATAAGTGGTGTAACTGGTTAGACCAAGGGGTCTCCAACTTTGGCAACTTAAACCCTGGTGGACCTCAACTCCCAGAATTCTCCCAGCCAGCTTTTCAGCTCTTAAAAGTTGCCAAGGTTGGAGCCCCCCTGAGTTTAGACAGTAGAAATAAAACATGAATGTATTTATGTAGGTTGGCCTAACTGGAAATGTGGATGTCAGTGTTGCAAAGATGGTCTATGAGCGCGTCTTAATCCGCCCCTGGCTGTGGGGAGGGGGCGCATGTGAGCCCCTTGTATAGGGTTATTTACCCGCGGTTGTGGCTCCCATCAGCCGAGTTTTACTGCTGCTTGTTTGCACCTAGCCAAAGTCGGTTTCTGCGTCGTGCGGGAAGGAGGGAAAGGGAGTGTCCCAGATGTTTCGATGTTGCAACCCTGCCCAAGGTTTCTCAAAGTCGCTTTTCCTGCCACAGGGAATGATTTAAAGGGGGTGGGGGAGGGGGGAAGAGGTCGGAGTAACCGCGTCGCTTGCTTTGCACCCGTTTGTCGCAGTCCCTTTTTGCAAACCGCCTGGGCTTGGGAAAGAAAGGCATCGACTTCGTTTTTGTGTGTGTGTGCAGAGTTGGCTTCAGGAGCCACGGTGGGAACTCAACTGTAGGGTAGTAGGACCAACAGGCAGCGATTAAAGGAAACTGCGTTTCAGAGGCAGCGTGTGTGTGTGTGTGTCTGTGTGTTCCTACACGGTCCGGGCCGAATCCTGTTTTTGCTGGGGACGAGGCAAGAAAGCCACACTGGTGAGGGGTGTGTGTGTGTGTGTGTCCTGCCTTCTTGACCCGGTCCCTCTTCCAGCCTTGCCTTCTCCAACTATTTGAAAACGGGAAGCCAACTCTTCAAGACGTATCCATCTTCAAGCTCCGATCCTGAAGCCGGAGCAAGAGGAGCGCAGTTACAAGCTGGTGGGAAGAGGCGGCCTTTGGATACGGATTCAGTCCCCCACCCCCCACCCCCGGTAAGGATTTTGCAAGCCTGCCCAACCCAACCCAACCCAACCCAACCCAACTCAGGAGAACGGAGATTCTTCTTGAGCTCTTCGGCCGGAGAAACGGGCCTCTTGGAAACCTTCGCTTGGGTTGGTTGTTGGTTTGCTTCGCTTTTCGGGATCTTGGCGATTCCCAAGAGAGAAGTCAAACGGCGTCAGCGAAACGTCTGAAAGGGTTGGCAGGGACGACCGCGTGTGGTTAGCTTGGCACCATAAATCCTAGTTTTTCCTCAAAGAAAACATGTTGACGCGGCGGGAATTTTCTTTTTTCTTTTTCTTTTTTTCCAATATGGAAAAAAAAAGCCTGCGCGGGGCAGCAAAAGACCCAGTAGATTCCGTGGCAAAAAAGAGGACCCAATAGATTCCGTGGCACTAGATTCAGTGGCACTAGATTCCGTGGCAAAAAAAATAATAATAATGTCAGGGAAGATGATGGACCGAGACAAGAGACAGGGGGTGGTGGGAAGAGAAGGGGTAGAAGGATTGGGGTCCTCCCGCCCCTTAGTGGGGGTAGCAGTGGGCGAGAAGGGGGCCCGATAGGCTGCCAGAAATAGGAAGGAGCCGAGATTTCTAAGAGGTTTTGCTGAGAGGGTTGTGTGTGATGTGGCGGGGCGGGATAATCTGGCTCTTGCCAGAGACTTGGAGTAAGTAAATTTAAGAACTCGGTCAGGGCAGTTTTTCGCCTTTGCGGTCCTCTGCTGCCCTCAAGCGGTGATGGTTAGGAACGGCGGGTCCATTGTTGTCCTGACGGTGGAAGGGAATCCTGGCATGAAGGTTTTCCTGAGCCCAGTGGGTCTAAACTAAAGCTTCATTTCGGATCTCCTTTGCTTTCTTTAAAAAACAAAAAATTGGTTGGGGATCTCAGGAGCTTTGTTTTAGGAGAGTCAGATCTACCGGACGTGTAGTGTATTAGAAATTAAAAATGAGAATTGTTAGAGTATTTATTGGACTCTGGGACAGCACTTTGAGAATTTCTGCCTTAGTCAATCTGTCTTGTTTAAGCCCTGGTTTACACATGCTCACTGCAAGCTGGCTGGGGGAATGCTGGGAGTTGAAGTCTACCTGTCTATTGCCATGTTTGAAAACATGGCTCTACTCTAAGCAAATTGTTCATATATGTATCATGCAGTGGTGGGATTCATTTTTTTTTTTTACCACTGGTTCTGTGGGCATGGCTTGGTCGGCGTGGCAGGGGAAGGATACTGCAAAATCCCCATTCCCTCCCCACCCCACTGACCTGCTTTCCAGCTCTGTTCTCCAGTGCAGGGCAACCAAAGAAGACCCAGCCGATCAGATAGGACTCGGGAGGCAGAGAAGAGATGGGGGCGGGGCCAGTCAAAGGTGGGATTTGCCGGTTCTCCAAACTACTCCAAATTTCCTCTACCGGTTCTCCAGAATCCGTCAGAACCTGCTGAATACCATCTCTGGTATGATGGATCTTCAGTTCAGGGCCACCATATCTGGGCTGCAAAATGGTAGGCACCCATTGGAGGGCTATAAAAGGTTTTCTGAAGCTCTTTGCCTCCATCTTGTGGCTCACTGGGTTTTTGTAGTCCAGACTGGGGAGCTTTTCCCTGTAAATACTTTTTGCAGTAAGTCCTCGATTTACGACCACAATCGAGACCAAAATTTCTGTTGCTAAACGAGACGTGTTAAGTGAGGCTTGCCCCATTGTACAACCTTTTGTGCCACGGTTATTAAATCAATTCCTGCGATTGATAAGTTAGTAACCCCTGGTTGTTAAAGCAAACATGGCTACCCCGTTGACTTTGCCTGTCAGAACTTCGCAAGAGCTGAAGAAAAGGCACTGCAACTGTCAGAAATATGAGTCAGTTGCCAAGCATTCGAATTTTGATCATGTGGGGATGCTGGAATGGTCGTAAGTGTGAAAACGGTCATAAGTCAATTTTTTCAGTGCTGTTGTAACTTTGAGCGGTCACTCAATGAAGTGTTGTAAGTCAAGGTCTATCTGTATTGAGGCATTTTGCTATCCCCCCAAAGTTTTGTTAAAATTTTCATGGATTCCCTCATTCAGAGTAAGGGATTCTCCGTACAGGAAGCCCTGGAATACTTGGAATTTGGAGAGGGTGTCAGGACGGTTGTTACAAAATGGCTGCCCTGGAACTTGTTTATTTTTTTTAAAAAAATGCCAGTTGTGGTAATCTTCACCAGCCACAAAAAGAACCAACAATGGGGTGGAAAGAACAAAATTGAATGTGTCATGAAGTTAAACAAGAATGTACCCCATTGTGTGTGCATTTGTATCTTTACACAAATTCTGTTTCTGTTGTCAGTTTGGCTGTGCAGTGTGTGAGGCCAAATGGAAATGATTTTTCCACAGGCCAAGATGGCTATTGATTCTGGAACGTTTTTGCCTCATGGTAGGGCTCATATGACAGCTGGCCTGAAACTGTCCATTCTAGCAGGATATCTGGCCTCCTGTGTCTCTTCTGTGATACCCCGCTAGTGTTCCTTTTGTTGCGGTTCACTGGCAGCCTGTGCAAAAGGCAAGTGGAATCGGACAGTGGGGAAGAATGGGGACCAGTCCGGGAGTCTGGGAAGGACTCGGATGAGGGTCCTGCATCCGATGCAGAGGTGGGGCCAGGACCATCTGGGAATTGTGTGCTGATGCCGGAGCCTCTAGACTCTGGCAGCAGTGAGGCAGAGGAACAAGGGGAGCCTGTTCCCAGTGCGCGTGTGCACAGGGCTGCTAGAAGGCAAGAGCAGCTGAGACAAAAGGGGTGACTCGGGACAAAGGCTTGGAGGTGATTGTCCCTCCCCTAAGGTACAAAGGTCAGGCAAAGGTGAAGAAACCTTTGCAGGAAGCAAAGTCGTTCATTCTGTTTAGATTAATCCTTGAAGTTCTTGTACTTCAGTTGGTTTTTTTATAGTTCATTTGGCACTTTTGTTGGCAGCAATTCAAAGGAGAGAAAGGTGGGTGCTTATCTGGGGGGACTTTTTGGGACTCATTACGGGCTGGGAATGAAAATAATTCCCAGCGTTGAAATAAAACAAGAGTTGTTTTAACTAAGCGTGTGCTTAATTGCAGTCTCAGGAAGCGTTGCTCAGAACACCTTTTCCCAAAATGGTTCATCTCTGAATCATCCAGAGATCTCTGGGTGATTTCTGTCAGAGCATCAGGCCAGGAAAGGCTGTCTATAATAGAGGATGTTGTGCTATAACTAAAACCTTGCGATAGTTGGTTAGACACAGGGGTGTCTTAACAGCATTATGGGCCCCAGGCAAAGCAGTGTACTGGGGCTCTTGCAACAACTACTCACTGGAATAAAAATGCAAATGGTCAATAAATGGCACTTCCAACAAATAAACATGTAACAAATATGTTGTTGCGTTTATATGATACCAGGTGCATTGAAGGGTTAATATACACAGATTGGTATGGGGGTCCCTATGCTCGTGGGGCCCATGAGCAAGTGCCCATCGGGCCCCTGCCTTAAGACAGCCCTGGTTGGATAGCTCTGTTTCTGTTTCATTGCTGTT